ATTGTAGAAACTCCTCGAATGATTTCACTAGCCAGGTTTGTAAAACTGCTATTAAGGGCTTTTTGAATGTGTCATACAGATTATTTTATGGAAAAATGCTCACAGTCTAATTTATTGAGTGTAGCCCTAGAAAAAAGTGTGTTCTTGAGGAATTCATCTCCCTCCCTCCCTCCCTCTCTCTCTCTCTCTCTCTCTCTCTCTCTCTCTCTCTCTCTCTCTCTCTCTCTTACAATAGAATGACAATTATGTATCTCTCCTTTTTTCCTTGGTGCTGTGACATTCAGAAGAAACTTCCACTTTAGCCTAAGGCGGGAGTTTTCTAACCCTGGGATGTCTATTTTCCCCCCATCTTAATTGTACTTGCTCTTTACTGTCAATTTAAGGATTGTATTATACTTAAGTCTTGGTTTTATTGTTACTTCAGGTTACTTTTAAAAGTAAGATCATGTTATAAATAATCAACAAGATTTAGAGCAGAAATAGATGGCACCTATTAAAAAGGTTTGGAGAAGCCCTGGCCAGGTAGCTCATTTGGATAGAGCATCATGCTGATATGCCAACGTTGTGGGTCCAACCTCCAGGGAGGGCACATATGAGAATCAACCAATGAATGCACAGATAAGTGGAACAATTATGTTATTTGGCTATGTTGCTATAACTGAGGCATGCCATAAGGACTGATATTTTGTTGCAGAATTATTTTATGATTGCGATAATGAAGCTTTGCAGACTTTAAAATTAGATTTTATCAAAATACATAAATGCAAATTCTTATAATGACATCATATATAATTTCTCACAAAAACATGGGTAAAGCTTAACAATTAAAAAAGTTTCCAAAGTTTATTTATACAGTAAATATATATAATTAATATAGGTGTATTTTAAGAAGGGTTTAATGAATGATCTAAAGGATGATAGAATTTAGCAAAATAAAATAAATCAGAAATATGAAGAAAATAAGACAATGCATTAGGGGTCTGGTTGGCACAAAAAAAGCCATAGAGTCTTGCTATAGATGGGCCAGAATTTTAACTTCCTAGTAGCCTACATGAAAAGGAAAATTATCTGCTCAGATAAGCCAGAAGAACTTGTAATAATAAATCTAGAAGGATTTCTATTCTCTATAGGATTTCTTGGAGAAAGTACTTTGAAGTAGATTATCTTGTCTCTTGATTGGTACAGTTACCATTATGTGATTGATACTAGTAAATTATAGTGCTGTAAGATTTTTACATGAATCTAATTAGTTTAAGAAATTTTCTAGCCATAGGTGGTTTGGCTCAGTGGATAGAGGGTTGACCTGTGGAATCAAAGGGTTCCAGGTTCTATTCCAGTCCAGGGCACGAACCTTGGTTGCAGACTCCTCCCCAGCCCAGGCCCTAGTCAAGGCTTGTGCAGGAGGCAATCAATTGATGTGTTTCTCTCACATTGATATTTCTCTCCGTCTTTCACTCTCTCTAAAAATCAATGGAAAAATATTCTCGAGTAAGGAAGAGAGAGAGAGAGAGAAAGAGAGATTTTAATGCATTAAAAATGAGGTCACCATTTTCTCTCCTTATTAGCCAATAGAACAGGCTCTGTGGGATGGGAGGGAGAAATCTTGTTTGGCAAGACAAAATCAAAGATAATGTTTTATTTTACTAATTTTTCTTTTCTTTCTTTTTCTTTTTCTTTTCTCTTTCTTTTTTTTGTTTTACTAATTTTCTTTTCTTATTTATTGGGATAACATTATATAAATTTCAGATGTGCAGTCTTATAATTTGACATTTGAATAATACAATATTGTGTGCTCATCACCCAAAGTCAAGTTTATTTCTGTTACCATATATTTGACTCTCTTTACCCAATTTTCCCTTCTCCCCACAACATTCCCCTTTGTGTGTCTTTTTCCTTCACCAGGTTAGGGAAGTTTTTAGCCATTATTTCTTCAGAGTCTTGATTCTTGTCCTTCTGGTACCCAAATGATGCGGATGTTTTTATCCTTGATGTTGTCAGAGGTCCCTTTTTTGTTCTGCTTGGATGTTTTCTGTTATCTTGTCCTCTAGATTACTGATTCAATCCTCTGCTTCTTCTAACTTGCTGTTGATTCCTTCTAGTGTATTCTTCATTTCAAATATTGTATTTTTCATTTCTGATGAGTGGCTTTTATTTTTTTTTAATTTAAAAATATATATATTTTATTGATTTTTTTACAGAGAGGAAGGGAGAAGGATAGAGAGCTAGAAACATCAATGAGAGAGAAACATCGAAACCAGCTGCCTCTTGCACACCCCCTACTGGGGATGTGCCTGCAACCAAGATACTTGCTCTTGACCGGAATCGAACCTGGGACCTTTTAGTCCACAGACCTACTCTCTATCCACTGAGCCAAACCGGTTTCAGCGTTTTTATTTATTTTTATGGTTTCTATGTCCTTTTTGTAAAAAAATATATTTTTATTGATTTGGTACAGAGAGGAAGGGAGAGAGATAGAGAGTTAGAAACATCAATGAGAGAGAGTCATCAATCAGCTGCCTCTTGCACACCCCCTACTGGGAATATGCCCCCAACCAAGGTACATGCCCTTGACTGGAATCGAACCCAGGACCCTTCAGTCCCCAAGCCGACGCTCTATCCATGACCCAAACCTGTCTTGGCTCTATGTCTTTTTTAATGCTTACTATCTATTTATTTAAGTTCTTACTGAGATCCTCCATTTTTCCCCTAATGTCCTTGAGCATTTTTATAACCATTGTTTTAAACTCTGCATTTGGTTGCTTCTATTTCATTTCATTGTTTTTCTGGGGATTTCTCTTGTTCTTTCATTTGGGGCATATTTCGTTGTCTCCCCATTTGTCTTCCTTTTGTATTTTTCTCTGAGTATTAGGTAGCTTTGTTATGACTCCCAAACTTGTTATAATGAATTTATGATGTAGGTGTCTTGTGGGGCTCAGTGGTGCAATATTCCTCATCACCAGGAATGTCTCTTGTATGGGTTATGTGTGCTCTCCAGTTGTAGTTGAATCTCAAATGCTACTGAATCATTCATGGGTGGAGTTAACCTTCATGCTGGCTGACCGTAAGGTTAGACCTCGATCGTTGTGTATGAGTTTCTCTGAAGGGGCTGTTCCCCAAGGAGAAGTTATTCTCAGCAGGATCTGATGCCTGCTGGAATCCCCCTTTGAATGTACCACTAATCTGAAGTCAGGGTGGTAAAGCCATTGGTTGTGTTGGTTCTGGGTCCACTTGTAAAGTTCCAGGGTAGGTCAATGTCAGACATAATGTGTTACTGGCCTTGGACTACCTGTCTGGAGCTACTTTGTTATTCACTATTTGTGGCAATGTCTGCTGTGCCTGGGTGTATGTGGAAGGGGCAAAGCTGTGTACAAAGGCCAGCTTCCTCCAGCTCTGAGCCAGGGGCAGATTTATAAAAGATCCAAGGCTCCCTGAGGTCCACCTCCACCTGTCAGCTACTCTGCCATCCCCTGCGGTTGCCTCCTTCAGAGCCTTCTGAAGAAAAAAGGTAGAGTGGGCCAAGGCTGGACATGACCCACAGATCCTAACACAAGGCATGAACTTGGTAGGGTGGGGTGACCTGGGTCAGGAAGATGGGCCTCGTAGGTCTCCTTTTTGGGGAGCAGCTCAATTAGGGGCCCCTACTCCAAAGCCATGCCACTCAATTTCTGCCAGAGTCTCCAACCCTAGCTCCCCCAGGAGAAGCACCTGGCAGGTTCAGGTTGGGTGCAGCCAGCCAGCCCTTCTCAAGAGCAAGCTTAGTTGGGCAGAGCCACCAGGACTCAGGAGGACAGGTCAAAAGAGCTTCACATTTGGGGTGGTGCTAGCAGAGCCTGCAGGAGGAGGGCAAGCATGTCACTTCTTCCCTGCTCCCTAACCACACAACTTAGTGCCTGTCGGAGTCCACGACAAAAGCCTCCAAGGAAGACATGCTCCAGAGGTCCCAGCTCTGAGCGGCACTCCCTTCTGCCTCAGAATTGGGATCAGCAGGGTTGGGCAACTGATTCTTGGGAGGACAGATCAAAAGAGTCTCTCACTGGGGATGGTGCTTGCCAAGCCTGCTGGTGGGGGCGCAAGACTGGCCCCTGTTTTAGTCACACAGCTCAGTGACTGTCTGAAGGTCCACCTAGTGCTTCTCCAGAAAAAGACCACATCAAAGGTCCCTGTTATGTGCAGCCAACAGACCTTTCTATAGGACTTGAGCTGGGCAGGGTGGTGTCACCTGGATTAGTGCCCTCCCCAAACTGGTGTAAGAATAGGAGTACTGGACCCTGGGAAGATGGCACCTCAGGGCAGTGTGGGATAGGTACTCAGCACAGGGACCTCAGAGGGTAACCCTCCAGATCTTTTCTCGGGGACACACCCCAATCTTCTTTTTATGACTCCCATATGACCTGAGTCACCTTCTCTCTACCGGAGCCCCATGTGAATGTCCAAGAGCAAAATCCTGTGCATTGGCCCTTTAAGAGAACACCTGGGTTTCTAACAGACTGCTTCCTCTGCCAGGTAGACAGAGTCTCAGCTAATTTCCACTGCCAGGTGCTATGCAGACTCCTATTCTGGGCTCTGGTTCTCTGGGTTGGGGAATCCCATCCTGGGGTTGAGACCCCACATTTCTCAGGAGGGGCTGTTTGCAGCCGAGATATCCTTCTGGCTTCTCAGCCCCCTTGTGGGTGCAGGGGCCAGACCTCTCTGCATCGCCACCCTTCTTACCCGTCTCTATGTGGCTTCTTCTGTGAATCCTTGGTTATAATACTGCTATTCAGCTGTCTCTCCATTGGTTTTCCAGGTTGATTGCGCTGTAATTTAACTGTAAACCCGGTGTGACACTGGGAGGAGGTGAGTGTAGCTTCTACCTGTTCCACAGCCATCCCCACGTCTTCACTGTCAATGGTGCTTATTCCCTTTGAGCCAGAGAGCTGGGCTCCGGGTTGTAAAGAGTTTCCAGTGCCCCGCCAAGGCAGCTGACCACACCGTCTTTCCCTTTTTCCACTGTCTTGCAGACCAGACGACGTGCTCCTGCATCGCACACATGATGAGATTGTCCTCCTGCATTGCTTCCTCTGGCCCCTGGTGACATTTGTGGTGGGCGTTCTCATTGTGGCCCTGACCATCTGTGCCAAGAGCCTGGCTGTGAAGGCAGAAGCCTTGAAGAAGCGCAAGTTCTCTTAGAGGGGAGCAGATGTGCGGAAAGCAAAGCACAGAAGCTGCACCTGTTGGCTCACATCTGCCTGCAGAGCCTCTTTCCGGCGCAGGAGCTGGAAGGGGCTGTGAGAGGTCTCTGAGAGGCTCCTCCCTCGATGGCAGCAGCAACAGGCACAACTGGAAGACCTAGAACCTCATAGATAACGTTCCGTGTGTTGTAGCCATGGCTAAAGGGTCAAGCTCTTAGCTGTATGGAGTACATTTCAGAAAATCTGATAAAACGTTAATTTTTTTGCAAGTCACAGTGTATAATTGTACAGTGTAGTATACAAATTATTATGATTTATGGTATTTAAAAATATTAAACTAGAGTGGTCTGTGTTCTTTTCTATTTTCTTTTTTATCCTTAAAACACCCAGGTTCAAAAAAAAAAAAAAAGTTCTTCTGGGTTTCACTTGATTCTGCTAGACTAAACTTTGACATGGAGATGAGGATTCCTGCACAAATCTTGTCTTCCCCATATAATTTAGTTTCCATTGTTAAAGAGTACCATTTTGGGCTTTTGCGTGAAAAGGGAATACTGCTCTGTTAACTCAGTCTCCAATCACTTCCATGGCCCTTCAACCAGGGACACTCAAAGATTGGAAAAACATCCTCAACACTTGCCTTTGTCTATCCATTATTTTTCATCAGGTTTTTAAAAAGAGAGGAACATGATTCTGAACAAGGCCTGTACTAGCTCTTAGAGCACTGCACTCTATTCATCTTGCTCATGTTTATTTTAGACGGATTTTGTCCTTGTGCAATAGAAGGTACATGATATGAAGGACATGTACATTGTTGAAAATGCTGTTTTCATTTTTTTTTTAAGTCAGAAAAATTATTCGAGACCCACCCATTTTGTTTTGATTTTCTTTGTCCTTGCCTTGAGGTTACCAGCATTAAAACAAGAATATTGCTGATGTTGCGTTTGCTTGGACAAACCTGGAGATGCAGCCCAGCTCAACATCATGGCTGAGCTTTCTGTGCCTTTATCCAAAGTTCATTGAGGAGACCAGACTGCTCTGAATCTGCTAATAAATTCAAATTTCAAATGTTTATCCCAGGTCTCAGTGAATATTAAACCTACCCTATTTATTTTTCAGGTAGAACTAACCCTTCGTTTAGATGGAATGTCACATTTTTAGTGGAAGAACACCTGACAATATAAATTTTTTTTCTTCTAATACTCTTTGGACATGCTTCTAGTAAAATAAAGGCAATTTAAAAGTTAAGGACAAGCCGAAACCGGTTTGGCTCAGTGGTAGAGCGTCAGTCTGTGGACTGAAAGGTCCCGGGTTCGATTCCGGTCAAGGGCATGTACCTTGGTTGCAGGCACATCCCGGTAGGAGGTGTGCAAGAGGCAGCTGGTCGATGTTTCTCTCTCATCGACGTTTCTAGCTCTCTATCTCTCTCCCTTCCTCTCTGTAAAATATCAATAAAATATATTTAAAAAAAAAAGTTAAGGACAAGCTCCCCTCAACTATTTGCTCAGGGTTCTAAGAAAGGTGCATATTAGTGGAATGATGCTTTCTGACTTTTAGTCAACATACCACAGTTTTCTTAATTTTAGAATACAAGTAATTGAGAGAGCCCTAGTCTTCAGTAGAAGGGTGCTGGATGAGTCTGGTAATTTTTTCCTCATTCAAGTGTTGCAGGTTGCACTGTGAAAAAGGCACTGAACGCACTCTTTGTGACATCCTTTTGAGGCAGCTCCAGTGCCTTGACTTCAATCCAGTTTTCTGTGGCAGCATCCCTGTTGTCTTAGCAACACAGCAGACCATTCTGAAGCAGTCACACAAAAATGGGACTCAGAAAATCATCATCTTTGCATCACTTTGTGGGAGATGAAGTCTACTTTATTCATTTTATCTTAATACAATAATCTATGATTAATTGATTACAGAGAGTAGACAAAAATAGCACATGGGCATATGTTAAATGTTGGAAAGGGGGAAATTTATATATATATATATCAGTCTTGAGTTTTCATCTTGGTACTCACACATATTAACTAAATGCCTATATTTAGGCCCAAAGAGTAGGTTGAGTTTTGGAAAAGAGAACAAGCACACTGAATTAATGAGCTCACCTGTAGTTTTAGGGTCTTGCTTACAACCAGTTAAATTTGAGACTTCTTATACTTGTCATTAAAGATAAAACCTGAAGGAATAAAGAGAGGGCATTTTAAAGATCATAAAAAATAAGGTTAACTTCTTAATATTTTAATTTCCCTTTTGTATAAGTGAGAAAATATATTTTATCTTTTTTTTGTGTGTAAGTGAGAAAGGGTTTAAGGCCCCAAAATATGATTGCTCACATAAGGCAATTTATTTCTTCCTCATATAATATCCAGAGGTAGTTGAGAAGTAGTAGGGCTGCTCTGTTTCACCAGGGAGTCAAGGGACCCAGAATTCATCCTCATTGCCAAGGGTAATGGTCAAAGCTGGCTCAAAGAAGCACTCCCACTGTGCCACCTGTCAAAAGAGGAAGTTGGGAGCAAGATATTTCCTTTAAAAGAAGTTTGAGCCATCACTTCTGCTCAGTCCATAATCACTTACTACATAGCTATACCTTGCTTCAAGGAGGCTGAGATATGTCCAGCTGGATGGACATATGTTCTACTAAAACTCCAGAGAAAAGGTTCTATTATTAAAAGGAAAAAAGGGGAGAATGAATGCTAGACAAAAGGGAAAGAAAGATGTATAGCCATCAAGGGTGTAGGCCATGATGAAAAGCTGAGCAGAACTAAAGAAGATCCTTTGCCAAGAGAAAAGAAAGGTGCATATTAGTGGAATTAAACCTTGAATCTGCTGTCTGAGAGAAATTCTCTTGTCCATTGTTTTCTGTGGCGTAGTTTGATTTCTAAGAAATGCTTGCTTCATCAGACTTAGAGATACATCTGAGTCCTGGAGCGAGGGAGCAGCACAGTTTTGCCGGCCCCTGACTGCTAGTGCAGACGTAGGTAGATTTCCTTAGGACTTGAACAAACAAACATAGGCTTATATAGGCCAGGATTATAGTGCATTTGGCTGCGAGAAAGAGGCCATCTCTATTTTTGATGTTTGCCGATAGCTTTCAAGCCTCTTCGAGTCCCTCTCCTTTCCCGCTAATCTCACCTGGACAAACTGATTAGCAAGCTGGGGTGTCTTCTTCTTTGGCCCAGGTGGGAAACTCAAATCACACAAACTCTGGCCTGAATGCAGGAACCCTCCCCTCAGCTTCACACCCTAAGAACACAAGAGCCAAGCCAGTCAAGTCAATTTTGGATCTGCCCGGGATCTTGCCCTGCTCTCCCCAGAAAGACTCATTATGTGAATAATAAACCTTTTCATACCTCTTGGTGTGTGTGTGTGTGTGTGGGTGGGTGGGTGTGGGTGTGGTTATTGGTCTCAGCATCCAAACCAAATTTGAGGTGAGGGGGTCAATCTGAGGGGTGCCCACAACTTTGGTGATTAAATTTCTGTTACACCCAGACTTCGTGATCCCCAGGGAGCTGAGTCCGATGCAATAAACAAAAGAGCCTTTTCCATGCTAGCATGGGCTCTGTCCCACTCACACCGGCAGCATGGCAGAAGAGAGCGAATTTCACCTAGCCCAGGGGTTTTACTCCAGTCGGTGGTGATGTCACTGCCTCGTCTAACCCTGATTAGTTGGGTGAGGGCTAGGGTTCAGTTCCTCGCCCTGCCCTGCCCTCTCATCCCCCCCTTGTCTTATGTGCATGAGTCAAATCATTGACTCAGCCTACTTCTTTTCAGCATAAACAACAAATAAATTTACTAAGACCCTTAGTACCACAGTTCCCCTCCTGCAGGCATCAGTTCTCCTCCTGGCCTGTGTGGAGCCCAGGCTGGGGATCTCACAGGTGAGGCCACTAATTGCCAGGATCCAGGCCATGCAGGAGCTGGGAGTCATGTAGTCAGGTCTGGGTGCCATCTACTTCAACAGCAGTGGGCATGCTCAGGATAACAGTGTAGCGTCCCTTTGAGTCCTTGGGCAGTGAATTTCTTTACCCACATTGAATTCCTGGGCTACAGGGTCTGCGGTGGGCACTGGCAGTGCATCTGGAACAAGCAAACTGCAGAGCCTGTAAGGACTTGAGCAAGGGAATGGTTACCATACATGATCCCCTCCAAAAAAGGGGAAACTTGTCCCAGTAAGGGGTACACCTGGCCCTTAAGAGGGCGAAGGACAGGGGGTTGGTCCAATTTTCACCAATTCTAGGACACATTTAGTTAAACTCTTTTTCCAGAGTCTCACTTTTGCCTGTCCTAAGGCTAGAGCTATACCTTGAGATACTTTGGCTACAAAGGTGGGGCTCTTATCTGATACTGGCAGCCCAAATCTAGGTATAATCTCTTGACTACTATAGAGGCAGTTTCTGTTATAAAGGGGTATACCTCAACCTAATCTGAAGTGTCTACAAAAACTAGACCTTAATGGTGGTGGTTTAATCTCTGAAATCCACCTACCAATGCTCTCCTGGGGAAGTTCCCTGGGACCTGAATTCCCAGGGGGACCCTCTTACCTTGCTTAGCATTTACCTGTGCTCAGACAGTACTTCTATCAATTCTACCTCACAGAGTCTCAGAAGTCTTGGTGACACTTAAGTGGGTAATCTGGTGTCACTGGGCAATTCTGACCTATAGCCTCTGGGACCAACAGTCTTGTCATCTCGAGGGTCCACCAATCATCTGGTCCTTCAGTGGCTTGCTTCTGTTCAGCCGATTCATTCCGGCTGCAGTTGGTAACCCTCTTTTCTCTGTGGATGGCACAGTGTCTTCATCAAGGGGCCTGGATTAAGGCCAAAAGTTCTGGAACTGTGCCCAAATGGTGTGGTCCAGAGTGACTACCACTGCCCCTGCATATCAGGTCCCATCCTGAATGTAACTGCTCCCATCTGTAAACAGTACCTCGTCATCTGTTACCTCTGTGCAGTCATGAATGGGTTCCTCCATCATCATCTGGAAGCAGGCTGGCAGGGTTGA